AGTCAGGTGCAGTGGCTCACGCCTGTAATCCCAGCACTTTGGGAGGCCGAGGCGGGCAGATCACAAAGTCAGGAGATCATGTCCATCCTGGCTAACATGGTGAAACCCCGTCTCTACTAAAACTACAAAAAAATTAGTCGGGCATGGTGGCGGGTGTCTGTAGTCCCAGCCGCTCTACCCGGGAGGCTGAGTCAGGAGAATGGTGTGAACCCGGGAGGTGGAGCTTGCAGTGAGCCGAGATCACGCCACTGCACTCCAGCCTGGGCGACAGAATGAGACTCCATCTCAAAAAAATAAAAATAAAAATAAAATAAAATAACAATAAAAAAACTCTTCCTAGGTATTAGTTAAACTTAGGAATGCCCTTGATATTTTTTCACTTCTTTATGACTAATGACCATACTGAATTCCTCTACTATTTCGATTTTTTTTTTTTTTTTTTGAGATGGAGTCTCGCTCTGTTGCCCAGGCTGGAGTGCGGAGTGGCAATGGCGTGATCTCAGCTCACTACAACGTCCGCCTCCCGGGTTCAAGCGAGTCCCTGCTTCAGTCTCCCGAGTAGCTGGGACTACACGGCGCCTACACCACACGCCCAGCTAATTTTTGTATTTTTAGTAGAGACGGGGTTTCACCATGTTGGCCAGGCTGGTTCGAAATCCAGACCTCGTGATCCTCCCCCTCGGCCTCCCAAAGAGCTGTGATCACAGTGTGAGCCACCGCACCTGGCCTCCACTGTTTTTAATAGTCTTTCAGCCCAGCCTCTACTGTTTTTATAATCTTTCAGTCTGGGCACGGTGGCTCATGCCTGTAATCCCAGCACTTTGGGAGGCGCGAGGTGGGTGGATCACCTGAGGTCAGGAGTTCGAGACCAGCCTGACCAATATGGGAAACTCCGTCTCTACTAAAAATACAAAAATTAGCTGGGCATGGTGCAGGCGCCTGTAGTCCCAGCTACTCGGGAGACTGAGGCAGGAAACTCGCTTGAACCCAGAGGGCGGAGGTTGCAGTGAGCTGAGATCACGCCATTGCGTTCCAGCCTAGGCAACAAAGCAAGACTCTGTCTCAAAAAAAAAAAAATAATAATAGTAATAATCTTTCAGTTGATCCTCTTAACTTTTCTAAGTAGACTATTATCAATCTGCAAATAATAATAATCTCATCTTCCCTTGTCGTCCTTATATTTTCATATTGTATTGGTTAGACCTTT